TCACAATTAGAACTTGTTGAAGAAAGTCTCATATTTTTTGTTAATGTTAACACTTCACAATGCCGTCACAAATGTGAGGAATTTATGCTCGCCGACACAACTTGTTGTCTTGTTCCCTTTGGCACAACAGGCAAAATTTGTCTGAAATCACCTCCAAAAACAATTATTTTGCCACCAAAGGGTTTATTCTCATTTTCAGGATCAGACTGGCTTAGGATATCCTTCAAAGATTGATGTACGGCCTCAAAACAATGCTTGTGAATCATCGGAGCTTCATCCCAAATGATGAGTTTTGCTTTCATTATCAACTCCGCCAAAGGGGACTCACATGCAATGTTGCAAGTAGATTCTTCATGAACCTTAAAAGGAATTGCAAACCTCGTGTGCTGTTCTTCCACCAGGGATGAGTAAAGATGCTATTCCACTTGAAGCGACTGTCAGTACTTTTTCACCTTTTGACCTTAAAGCAACCGAAAGCGTTCTCCAAATATATGTCTTGCCAGTACCTCCGTAACCATAAACGAAAAATAAACCACCACAATTCTCATTTACTCGTGCAATTATTTTGTCATAGATAACCCTTTGTTCGTCATTGATACTTGACAATAACTCCAAATGTTCCGCAACCAATGCACTTATGTCATAATTGAGTTCATCATAGATAAGTCTATTTTGAATTTGTGGGAGATGCGACATGTTTGGGAACGACATTGTTGGAAAATCAGCTAGACTCTTATTACTACTCTGCTGCTTATTTTCAATTTCCATAAGTGCAAAATTTTTCAAATCATCTTCATCAAGCTCCAAATTTAAGATATAAAAATTTTCTTTCTCAATTAGCCACAATGGATGCAGAATAAATGAAAGACAAAATAAAAATTATGTTAATAAATTAATATATAAAATAATTCAAAATATATGAATAATTACCTTCACGTTGGAGTAAAGTTCTTTGCATGCGCAGGATATCATCACTCAGAAATGCCATGTTTTATCCCAAACATTTTCAGGCCGTGTCATTTGATTCGACAATAATAAAGTTGTGAACATATTTCATAGGAACTTCGCAAAACCCCATTGGCTGGCTTCTTCAATACCATCTATGTACTCCTTATCATCATCTAACATACCAATTGCATAGCAAGCATCTCTAAACGTAGGATAAACAATATTATTGATGGTTCTTAACTCGGTATAAGAAGAAGGTCCTTTAATTATGTTGAGTAAGATTCTCAAATAATATAATTCACCACTTCCTGGGGCTACATAATGAATTCTTCCCACCGAAAATCCTTTCTTTCGAGGAGTCCACGCACGTAAAGGCTGTTTCCAGACAAATTTCGTCGGAAATTCTGCATAAGTAAGACCATTTGCCTCATTATATGTAGAGTTTGCCTCCATCCATGCTAGAAACTTTGATCTTTGTACATGTGGTCTTTCAACAACCGATTCAAGAGGCTCGTCACCATCAAAACATACAATTTGTTCATTGGGCAGGTGAATAGGCAAACGTTCAACTGCCGGTTCTCTAAAATGAACATCGAACATAAATATTCGCCACACTGCTTCACATGGTGATGAGTATCTACAATCATAGTACATCTTAATCTCATCGTAATTTTCTGCTCCGGTTCCATAAAAAACTTGCAGTAACACGATCATGACCTTTGTTGATGTACTTGAAAAGATACTTGATTGATCTTGATTGGTTGCACCACTCAACATTTATATGCGCCTTGTACCTTTTCATCAGATATGGATTATAAGGAATCACAAATCTATTATCAACATCATTTTTTTACTTTTCTGACTACCCTGCCATTATTCCTTCTCTTGTAGAGTGAATAGCCGTCTTTATCGTTAGATGTTCGATCATTGAATTTTTTGGGGAAGTGTCTGGGAAAAAAAAGATTTGGTAGTAGACTACTTATAGTGCAACAAACATAAGTTTGCAACTGTTGAGATGAAAACGAAAAGTCATTGCCATGAAATATTTAAACAATGTGAAACTCTTGATGTGCAAGATGTTTGAAAATGAGATATTAATGGAGGAAAATATGAAATATTAATACTAATACATTGTAATGGAGGAGTTGAAAAGTAAGTTGGAAGTTATATATAATGTGATTGGTTATATATAATGTGATCGGTTATAGATATATATAACGTGGAAGTTATATATAATGTTCAATTTATATATTGACGTGGATCAAGCAAGTTAATACTATATTATTAAGAAAACTTAGTTAGTTATGTTAAAAAAGTTGTTTCATAATTGTTACTAATAATATAGTAAATAAATTATAATTATAATACTAATCATTTAGGAATCTCATTTTTATGTTAAAAAAATTGTTTTATAATTAAAGTCCGATGATTTACAATATTAGCCCTACAATTAATTTAAAATATATCATTAAAATATGTTTTAATGCATAAATATATACTATAGTTTGATTTTAAAATATATAAAAAATATTATTTGATTAAAAGAAACAATCTTTTGATATATTATAGTTCTACATAAAATCTCATAAACTATACTATGGTTTAATTTTACATCTCCACTAATACATAGTAGTACTAAGCAAACAATCTAATGCAAAATGAGAAATAAATTCCAGAAATTGATTAAAAGAGAGAAAAAAACTAAAAATCTGGACGGGAAATATATCCTAATAATATGTAAACATAAAATAATAGAATACTTCATCTACAATAATTGCATTACAAAAGTAATAGTTTGAACATTATAAAAATGAAAGAAATTAAAAGGACAAAAAACAGGAGAAAAGAAAAACATCTAAGAAAATATAAATATCTTTTCGATCAAGCTAATCCGATTCACTGCCATCAGAATCTTTGCGATCACTGAGAGAGTCTCGTCACTGCCATCATAATATTTGCGATCACTTGCAGAGTCTGACATATGTGTCTCATTCGACCAATCACTGTACTCATCATTCATGTCGTATACGAACTTGATCCTTTATGATGGTCGGATTACTCTGCATCGTGGTTTCGTACGAAATTGGATCGATGATTTCGTGGCCTTCCCCTTTTCATCATTTTTATTTTCATTGTAGATGGATTAAAATCCCGCATCCGTTATTTGTAGGCAACGATTGTCAGAGTATAATTTATCCTCATCTTCATCTGATGAGATTTCTATATAATTTGGACCGGTATTACAATTGCAAAAGCAACACAATCGTTTAACACATACAAATAATGAAACGAAGATTGAAATTAACACAAATACGCCAATTTTAGCGCAAAAATCTTTAACTAACAATTGTGGCGTACTTGAATAAGTGCGATATATTGCAGCTGCAAATTCCTATAGAAAAGATGAAAACAAATTTAATGCCGGTCAAAAAAATTAGTCAAAAAAAAAAAAGAATAAATTAAAAGAGATTAAATTGAAAACAATAAAAGGAGAAAACAGTAAAAAGAGAACAAATTCTCGAAAGAGAAAAACATGGAGAGAAAAAATGTAGTAGAAAGAGATTAAAAGCCGTCGGAAAGAATTCTAAAAATGCCTAACAAAACTTTTGAAAATGGTACACCATCATTATTAGGTTTTTTCATAATCTGTAAGTATAATAATAATTTTTGTGGGGAAAAAATAATTTATGTGGGAGAAATATTGTTCTTGAAGAAATAATTTTTAATGGAGGAATATTTTATGTAGAAGGAATAGTTTATATAGGGCTGTGGGAGTTAAGATTGATAAACTGATTTCTTAGTGGGTAACCACAAAATAGGACATTGTTTTATTTTCCCGTGGATGTGGCAGATTTTTGTTAAGAAGAAAAATCCTAAAATTAATTTATTATATTATATATTATATATTGTATATTGTATTATGGAACGTGCATAATTTTTAATAGGAAAAAATCTAATATAAATAATAAATAGTGAACGTGTGCAAAACTAATAGGAGAAAAAAAAGGATAATAAAAGATAATGGTATGATATGTACGTGGTGTGGTGCGGTGTGGTGTGACGGGTAAATATAGAGTAAAAATTGAGATTAGAAAATGACTAAAATACCCCTAGGTTTAGGTTTAGGTTTTAGTTCAAAATATCTTCGTTTTATATATAAGATATAGGTGAATAAAAAAATGAAAAAGATTGAATTCCGTGGATTCAGATTTTGTACTAATAAATTTTCTTCTCTCTTTTTATTTCCTATTTTCTAGTTTTGTAAATAAAAAAATTTCTAATTTTTTTTTCTCGAGGCAGCATTTAGCCTACCTAAATCCCAAAATTTAGTTGTAAAAAATCCTAAACTCGCCACTAAACATGTTCGTAAGTGTCCGACTCGTGAAGATGTCGGATGCGCAAATACATTAACAAGTTCAATGTCAAACTCAACATAGATTATAACGATACATGAACAAATAAATTACTTGGAAAATTACAACCATCCCTCTGAGCCATGGTTAAATTACGAAAACTCCCTCTTATTTGGGTAATTACAACCATCCCTCAATTATGTATAATCTACAAAAAGAACTCTCAAGAGATAAATTTAGAGATGTTAAATCGATAAAATGGAACCCAATTACATAAATTTTATGTAAAAATATTTAAAGAGAGGGTAGCTGTAATTAAAAAAATAAAATCGTAATTCGAACGTAGCTAGGTTCAAAATCTTGTTATAAATTCATATTCATGACACAAGCAATTTTGTCCTATTACTATTTTGTCGTATGTATAAAGCCGTACCATCTCCTCCGCAGAGACAATATATGCAGCTGGTGAACAAATATTGATACGCGGCGATAAGTACATCTGGTACGTAGACACGTAAGGTGGACACATGCTCTTCATGCATGGCTATTGCCTTGCATGCAAAACCCCTCCCATCTCTATCTCTTTCCCCACTCTCCTCTATAAATCAATTATCAATCCACCCACTAAATCATTCCACCTTTAATTTCATCAATCAAAATTAGAAAAAAGAAAAAGAAATAATGAGGTGTTTTTGTTTGTTGTTGTTTGCATTATTACTTGCTTCTGCAACTATAGCTCTGGGCTACAAAGAAGACCCAGAGCTGAAGCAGTGCAAGCACCAATGCGAAGCCCAGAAGCAATTCGGCGAGGAGAAGATCCGCACGTGCATCCAGCAGTGCGAGGACTACGTCCGTGAGAAGCAGAGGCGAGAGCACGGCGGCGAAGGCGGCGGATCCACCACCTTCTTCGAGGAGGAAGATGATGACCTGAACCGCAGAAGCCCGATAGAGCGCCTGCGCGAGTGCACCAAAGGATGCGACCGCAGCAAACAGAAGGAGCGCTGCCAAAGCCGCTGCCAGGAGACCTACGAGAAGGAGAAAGAGCGCTACGAAGGCGGCGGCAATCCAGTCGACCCAGAACAGGAGTACCAGGAGTGCCGCCAAGAGTGCCGCCGCCAGTCCAGAGAAGGCGGCAGCCGCCAGGAAAGGTGCGAGGAGCGGTGCCAGGAGCAGCGCCGAGAGAGGGAGAGGGAGCAGCCGGGGCGGCGAGAGGGCGGCGGCGGCATGTACATGTACGAGGGGAGAGAAAGGGAGGAGGAAGAGGAGCGGCGGCAGCAGAAACAGAATCCGTATGTTTTCGAGGAAAGACACTTCTTCACCGGAATGGAGACCCAGCACGGCCGCCTCCGCATCCTTCCCAAATTCACCGACAGGTCGAAACTCCTCAAGGGTATCGAAAATTACCGTGTTGCCATTCTCGAAGCTGAGCCCCAAACTTTCATCGTGCCTAATCATTGGGATGCCGACACTCTAATCTTTGTTGCTAACGGTAGTTAATATAAATATACCTATAATTACTCACTCTAAACTAATTATATTGATAATATAATATGTATTTGGATCATGTGGTGCAGGAAGGGGAGCAGTGAGCTTAATGAGACAAGAAAGGAGGGAGAGCTTCAATATCAAACAAGGTGATATATTCAGAATCAATGCCGGAACGACGGCGTATTTGATCAATAGGGACTCTAACCAGAAATTAGTCCTTGCCAAGCTTCTACAGCCCGTCAACACTCCCGGCCAATTCGAGGTAATTACTATTTTATTTAATATAATTAATCATTTATTTATTCCGCATAAAATATATTCAACTGTTTCTCTTGTAACTGAAAAAAATAGGCATTTTTTGGCGCGGGAGGGGAGAATCCAGAGTCCTTCTACACTGCCTTCAGCAATGATATACTTGAAGCTGCTTTCAATGTAAAATTTCTAATTCACTTAATTAGTAGAATTAATTTATTAATTAATTAATTATGGTGGTTGAATTTAATCAATTACATGGGGATTCTGCAGACAAGGAGGGATAGGCTGCAGAGGCTGTTCGGACAACAAAAGCAAGGTGTAATAATAAAAGCCTCGGAAGAGCAAGTTAGAGCAATGAGCCACCACGAGGAGGGCGGTATCTGGCCCTTTGGCGGCGAATCGAAAGGCACATTCAATTTATACGACCAACGCCCGAGCCACAGCAACGAGTACGGCCAGCTCTTCGAGGTCGACTCCTCCCAGTTCAGGCAGCTTCGTGACCTCGATATCGCCATCTCTCTAGCCAACATCACCCAGGTCAATTTAATTACATGCATCCATATATAAAACCCTGTTTCGTTTTGAATTCGAACTATGTTCTATATCTATATGTGTATATATACACTTAAACCTCCATAAATTAATACAAGCGGGACCAGCAAATTTTTATTAATTTAGCGAAATATTAAATTATGGAACTAATAATTTAATACGTTTACTATACTACGAGGAGTCGGGACTGGGATAAATTATTATTTAAGTGATATTATCCCAAATTATTATTTAAGTGATATTATTAATTTATCGAGTTTCGACTGTGTGTTTGGTTTTAATAGTTGTTTGGTTCAAGTATAGGGTGCGATGATAGCTCCGTCTTACAACTCGAAGTCGACGAAGATCACGGTTGTGGTGGACGGAGAAGGCTACTTCGAAATGGCGTGCCCGCATATCTCTCAGTCACAGTCGCAGGGCGGCCGCCAACAAAGACAACAACAAGGCGCTGGGCAGAGAGGATACGAGAAGGTGAGCTCGAGGTTGAAGAGGGGGACAGTGGTGGTGGTGCCGGCGGGTCATCCTTTCGTGGCGGTGGCGTCGAACAACCAGAACCTGCAGCTGCTCTGCTTCGAAGTGAACGCGTACAACAACGAGAAGTTCACGCTTGCCGGAAGGAGGAATGTGATGAACCAGCTGGAGAGGGAGGCGAAGGAGCTGGCTTTCGGAATGCCGGCGAGAGAAGTTGATGAGATTTTCAGGAGCCAGAAAGAGGAGTTTTTCTTCAAGGGGCCACGTCAGCAGGGCGGCCGCTCCGATGAGTAAAGATCGGAAATAAAGATGTGGCTGGTTATGTGGATGAATCTGTGTAGTGTTTTTATGTAATGTAACTCTACGATAGTACAAGTTATCATGGAGATGTTTTGCGGATATGTAATTAACTACCTATGTAAAATGGGGAGCGGTCTTTTGCTAACATAAATAAGACTGATCTGCTTCCATGAGTACTTAATTTCATATGTATCAATAAATCTCATCCTCCATTTTTGTTTTTTTAGCTGAATTTTATGTGATGGTGTGATGGGGATATTCTTCAGCCTGGGGATGTGAGAGCCGACCTCGCGCCGACAGCTCGATGAGTTGAATTTACTTGGCTCGAGCTCGCATGAGCTTCGGTGAGCTTGAGAGTTTTAAATAATAATAATAATAATAATAATTGTATTGCATAATCTATCAAATAAAATAAAATAAATAAATAAGAAACTAGGGCTCGAGCTAGAGTTTTTGTCGGGTCAATTCGTCGGCTCAACTCGTTTACCAACCTCTATTTCATTTAAACCCCAATGGTAAATGTTATGTACCAGCTTACAAGTTTTAAGCTATAACTGAAAATGATCCATGGAATATTTGTATATTTATTATCTTTAATGAAATGTAGCACAAGTACACATTTGAGATATTTTACAAAAAAAAAAAAAGTAAAAAGATATATTATTTGATTTCCTATGTATCCAATAAATTTGCACCTTCTCCTACGTGTTTTCTTGGCTGGATAATATTTGATTTAATTTGTGATGGATGGTGAACGGAAAACTAGATGTTACATCTGGTTATTTATATCGAATGAATTTGAATATCGAATGAATTTGAACGGTGGATTTATCCATAATCACATAAATTCATGTGTATGTGTGTTTCGTGAATAGTTATTTAATTAAATTTACGGTTTAAATCCGTCTAATATAAATAATCAGGTGTAGCATATAATTCTCAATGTGTGACTATGAGGTTTTGCCATTGCGTCAGATTTCGCATTAATTGATTTCTCAAATTTACACAACCAGCGCTGCGATTTTTGTGATAAGATTGCACATTGCGGTGTGATTACATAAATCATACATTGCAATATTTTTTCTACTTTCATACACATTGTTTGTAAATTACTAAATTAGACTCATGTGTATACTAATTACTAAATGAAACGTTTTATTTAAAGGGGTCTTTACAAATAAGTCCATCAATGGGTACTTATTTATAAAGAGATCTAGACAAAAAACTCATTTACCAATAAGTCCACACATGGTCCAAATTTTTGTAAATGACTTAAATAACCCCTCATACTTTAATATGCTCCAATTTCATCATTAACCTCAAAATTTCACAAATTATTCAATTTTGACCAAAAACTTTTATTTTTTCAAAAAAAATATTTTTTCAAAAACTTTTTTTTTTCCCGCCGGATTCCGGTCCGGCGTTGACTTTCCAATTTTTTTTTTTTTTTTTTTTCTTCTTCCGATTTTTTTCGCCGGTCTCCGGCGTTGACTTTTTCGATTTTTTTTTTCTCTCTTATTTTCTTTCTTTCTGTAACTTTTTTTTTCGTTTACACAACAATATTGCTGTGATTGACAGTAATATTAACTATCTTACTGTTAAACACAGTAAAATTAACTAAACTACAGTTTAACACAGTAATATTGCTATATTAATCTCTAGCACAGTAATATTAACACAACAAAACTCATTATTATTGTGTAATAGAGTAATATTCTTATGTTGACCGTTCAACAAATGTAAATATAATAAAAAGCCAAAAGAATTACTATTACTGTGAGTGACAGTAATATTACTATAACAACAGTAATATTACCGTCAACCACAGTAATATTATTACGTTACTCCGTGAATAACTCAAACAAACAAAAAAATACAAACAAAATAATAATATTTATGTGGTTGACAGCAATATTACTATAACAACAGTAATATTATTGTGTTTACAGTAATATTACAATAATAGACAGTAATATTATTACGTTACTCCGTGAATAATTCAAACAAAGCAAAAAACTCCAAAAAAATAATAATATTGATGTTGTTGACAGTAATATTATTGTGTTTACAGTTATTTTACTGTCAACGACAGTAATATTATAATTACGTTGACTTGTCAACAAATCAAAAAAAAATATAAAATAATAATATTACGTTAATTTACCGTCAACGCTAGAACAATTACATAAAATGTATTGTCAACGGCAGTATAATTACGTTAATTAACTATCATTGACAGTATAATTACGTTAATTTACTGTCAGTGACAGCACAATTACGGCCAATGTTTAGCGACGGACGTAAAAAAAAAAAAAAAACAAACAAACAACAAAAAAAAAAAAAACTTAAAAAACTCTAAAAAAAGTCAACGCCGGAAACCGGCAAAAAAATCCGGAAGAAAAGAGAAGAAAAAAGAGAAGAAAAAAGAAAAGAAAAAAAAAAACGAAAAAGTCAATGCCGGAGACCGGCGTTGACCGCCGGAAACCGGCGAAAAATCCAAAAGAAAGAAAGAATTTTTTTTTTTGAAAAGTCAACGCCGGAGTCCGGCCGAATTTTTTTTTTTTTGAATTTTTTTTTTTTTGGAAAAACAAAATTTTGGGGTCAAAATTGAATAATATGTAAAATTTGGGGTCAAATTGAGGTTAAATTAAGTTAATGATGAAATTGGAGAATATTAAAAATTGGGTATAAAGAGTTGAGGGTAATATTGGGATATACATGAATGTTTCCTTTATTTATAATAAATATTAAAGGGATGTGCTTATTGGTGAAAGAGATATAACCCTATAGAATAGAGACAAAAAAAGAAGACGAAATGACGATCTTATTCTTAAAATGTCACAAATATGGAATTTAAAATGTATCTACGCAACATTGTTTCAAAAGTTGTATTAAATATATCATATATGTATATTTATTATCTTTAAAAAATTCAGCATATAAGGACACATTTTGAGATATTTTACGAAAAAATAAATTAAAAATTAGTGTTTTTTTTATTTATTTTGGTAAACTCATCACTCCATCAGCATATTAATTGACTACTTAAATTGATTTTCATAACACCCCAAAAATTATCCCATAAACTATGAAAAAAAATGAAATTTTACTCGAGATTGAAGACTTTTGGTAACTAAATTTGGCAAGTCAAAATATTACTTGTAAATTGTAATAATCATTTAGGGTTGAGGAAATCCATCACGTAAAAATTGGATTACAATCGAAGCAATCTAACATATTTGAATTACGGTAAATCAATTTCACACATACTAAAAACACACAGGGCCTAAAATGTAGTATATATATCCACCACCTAGCTCTCTCATTCCCCTGTATCTCACATACACATAAACCATATATCTGTAATTAGGAAATCTAGATTAGCCGAACATGCCGATGAAGCGCAGACGTACTGGAAGTTCGTCGTCCGCAAGAAGCGCCACCGCTGCCGCCAGCCCAGCGATGGGCACGAAGGCTGATGCCACCGGCGAGCCACCGCGGTCGAAGATTTTGACCATCGCTTATCCGATTCGTCTCCGAGATTCCGATCATCTCAGAATTAGGGGATTTCTGGAGAGGTGCCACTACTGCCAGAAGCGGATTGCGCACAACTCTGAGGTTTTCATGTATAGGTATTATTTTTTTAACAATTACGTACACTGCTAATTAATTCTTTTTTTTTTTTTCCTTTTTTATTATTTATATTTTTTTTAATTATTCCTAATTTTTTTAATTTGTTGGCTTAATTAATGCAGCAACCTGTGCGCCTTCTGCTCTTCTGATTGCCGTGACCGTCAGATTGCAATTGACCGTTTGGCAAAAGTTGATGGGATTTTCAATAACACATACTACTAATTACTAATTAAAAGTTTAATATAGTACTAATCACTATAGATGTTTACTCGTATGAATTTTATAGAATTTGTAGCTTCTACCTGTACAGGTTTCTTACATATAAATATATATCGGGTAATTTGCATCGACCTCCCCTGAACTTTGGTCTTTTGGCAAACGCTTGATCTTTTGGCATACACATCGTCTCCATCATTTTTTCCGTTAATGAACCGTCAGTCTTGGCTAGAAAATGCACATTTACTTTGAACTTTAGAAAGATATAATAATGTACATGCGCACCCAGTGGCGGATCTGGCTATGGTTAGTGTGTGCAGTTACACTCCGTTGAACATAAGTTGACAGAAAAGGCTATTGGTTGAGGTGGTAATTAAAGATATTCTTCAATCATTAATAGGTCCCGGGTTTGACACCCAACCCTCTTGCACCACCATGTTACATGATTATTGTACAACTAATTTAAATGGTGCATAAACACGTCAAATTTGACATTATAAATTAAATAAAAATATTAGTATTTTTTTTAAATATATATGATTCTATAGATGAACACAAAACTTGTCTCGAGAAGATCTTGAGGTAGCCACCACGCTCTATTACAATATTGAAATCTGTAAAAATGAGATTTAATCAAATTTTAGTCCATTGTATCATAGAAGTGTATAATTAATATAAGATTACACATACCATCAGATAGGCTAGACCTCTATCCATGTTGCCTTCATTAGTTTGACGGCAATGTTCCTGTATATGAATTAAAGACCATTTTTTTTATAAGCTTCTATTTTTTCAGAATTAAATTATTAACACCTTTAATTTAAATGTGCAATTACTTTTCTGCCCTTGGGGTTGTTATAAGAAACTTAATAATTATATAATTAATATGGGTCATATTTGTCGATTTTGTTATGAATTTGTGATTGAAGTGAATTTATAGTTTACATAATTTTCTTAATTGTGTTTAGTTTTTGGATTCAATATTTTTGCTAATTGTCTTTTTTTTTTCAATTTTGTGCATTTTTTGTTTAAGCCCTCAATTAAATGCATAACTTTTGGGGTGATTTTCGTGCATTATAAGATGCTTGTACCATGAAGTACTAGAATTTTGTGTATTTGAGCTGTTACTCGACATTTTAATAAATTTTAGAAGAAAAAAACAGTGGTCTTTTAGTGATTAAATAAGGAGAAGAAAAACGGAAATACGAGAAAAGAAACCAAATAATATGGAGCAAAAAGAACTTGACAAAATAAGAAAAAAAAATTAGTGAAAAAATTGTAATATATATATATATATATATATATATATATATATATATATATATATAT